CCCGCCCCGGCCGCCTCCACGGGCATGGCCTGCATGGCCCCGGCCAGGCCCCGCACGGCCAACCCGCTGGCCGCCTGGGCAAGGCCCCGGGCACCGCCATGGCCGCGCCACGGCACCGCCAGCGTAGCGTAGCGAGCGTAGCGCTGCGCCAGCCGGACGGGACGGGACGGGGCTCCGCCGGCTACGCTCTCATACGAGGGCAGGGCTTGTTTCGGCCCGCCCCCGCTTCGCCCCCGCTTCGCCCCCGCCCCCGCCCCCGCCCCGCAGCGTCCGGACAGATGAGAGATTCCGCTCCATGCCTGCCTGGCTTGCCTTCCCGTCATTTTCGCTCAGAGATTACGCGCGTGAGTTTATAGGCGAGACTAGCTGTCGTGTGCAGTCGGCGGGCGCGCCGCGGCGGCGAGGGGCTGCTGTGTACGGAGAGCAGAGAGGGATGGCCCCGCCCGTCCTCCCCTCACTCCACCCCACTGTAAATCAAGGTGTGATGACGACTGTAATACTTGTTTGGTGATGCAGCAAGTAATTGCACGATCCTGTGATGACCATTGCAAATAACGCATTTGTATGGTGATCCAGACTCATCGCAATATTTTGGAATAAGTATCACACAATACCTATGATAAAAAATAATTGTATCACCTCCTAAGGAGCGTGACTTCGTGGGAATCACACGGAACCATTAATCACGGAAATGTGTGAAAATGATCACAACATGAATTGCAGTCCCACCGCCATTCCTTTGCACCCTTCTCTCACCCCGACTCTCCCTTCCCTTTCTCTTACTCTCTTGACTCATGTCCCCCATTTCTATGCTCCCCCCCCCTCCCTCGAGCCTTTCCTATGTTTGCCGAAAGTAGTGGTAGCCTACACAACATTGGTCACTAAAGCCCCCCACCCCCACCCCACCTCCTCCTTCGCTCACCGTCAAGGGAAACAGATGAGGTGAGGCGGCCACCCGCTCGCAGCTAGGAGGAGAGCACTACCAGAACCAGAGTCTACTTTGCTATACCACACATGGTGATCACCAAAAATCAACTCTGCTCGTCGAATAGAATACCCCCCCCCCCCCCCCCCCCCCCCCCCTTTTTGCTTTTCCCTCTGGCGAGGGAAATCTGCTTTGTCGGAAAGACATATTTGTGTGCCGTGCCGTTCGGTCCCGCGGCCTCCCGTCTCGCTCGGCTATTTGCCCGGGGAAACGACTTCGAATAACCCTTTATTTAACCCAACTCGCTGGCGGGGGCGTGGCGGGGAGCTGGCGGGGCGGGGTGGGGCGGAGCGACATGGCGCATCCTGATCGCATATCCCTCCAGGCCAGGGGCGAGGTGGTGGGGGTGCGGTAGGGGAGGCCAACATGAGAGACGTCTGTTCTGTTTCTTTATCTTTGCGGGGGGTGGGGGAGGGGCGGAAGGGATAGCGGCAGCAGCCTCCGCTCGGCGACACGGCGGGCGGCGCGGCCGCGTTCGTCCCGTCTCGATATGCACGTTGCGACATATTGCAGAACGGCCGCCCCATCTGCCATAATCCCGCTCCAGCTCCCGCCACGCGATGAGTCTGGTCTGGAGAGGGCGCTGAATATTTGCACTCGAGAACTCGATGCGTCGTCTCTTGGCGCAACTGCTTTTGGAAATGAGGCAGTGGCGGCGGGTTAGCGTGAAGTAACCCGTTGTATTTCCAAAGGCAATGCCCCGGTTTGAGGACGTCGCGTCGCTTCGTCCTCGTCCACCCACTTGACCGCGGAGCTGGTCCACTTGGTCCCAGAAACGGACTTCCCTGGTAGCGCTCCCCTCCCCTGATGTTCTTCGCCCCCCAGTGGAGCGGAGCCGAGCCGAGCCGAGCGAAGGCGAGCGGAGTTGAGCGGCTCTACACCAGCCTTAATTAAAACCTCACCCTTGCCTTGCGCCCCGACGCCGCACACCGCCGAGGCGAGGCAAGGCGCCATCTGAAATGCCCGTTCGAGATATCGACACCCGCCTTGGGATATCTAGCCCCTCACAAAGCGAGGCCGGGCGAGGCGAGGCTGGCTGCGGCCCGGCGGCGTGGCCGCGGGCCAGACAGGTCGAGCGGAGCCAGCGGAGCCAGCGGAGCCGCCTCGGAGCGCACGGCCTGCGCGCCAGGCTCACTCACCCCCGGGCAAATATTTGAAGTGGATAGGGATTCTAATGAGAGTATGGCCCGTGGCGGGCTGGGCCGGGCCGGGCCGAGCTCGTCGAGGACACGAGAAGGATTTTGTAAAACGAAAGGAAAGGGCGGACGGCCGGCCGGCGAGAGCCTCGGGGCAGGCCCGGGCAGGCCGCGGGCCGCGGCGCGGACACGAGGCAACGCCCACTCGCAGAGCACGGCGACGACGCCGTCTGTCGT